TTAAAAACCTAGTGAAGAAATTATTTTGTAATCGATCATTTGCGGAGAAATAATTCAAGTCTTTAACAATTTTTTTTGAACTATCTATTTTTAATTATTTCTGTAAATGACTTAAAATAAATAAAATTTTATTGAATGATTAATAGTTTTCGATTATTTCAAAGGCATATGATAAAATTAATTATTTCCTAGAATCACTTTTATTTCAATAATTTTAGTTAGAAAGACAATATATCGTTTATTAGAACAACTTTTGATGTTTTGGAATTTTCACTTTGGATATCTAAAAACAAACATCCTGTTGATGACACATTTTTGGAAACAGAATCTTTGATAGCATACGTTACTTAATAAATTCTCAAAACAAATATATTTTTTTAATTACTAAGTAAAATCAGTTAATACATCGTTTCATTCTCAAGTAAAAAAAGTAAAAACAAAAAAATTTAATCTGTTTTACTCATATTTATTAATATAACATTAATTTATGTTATTTTTATTGTTCTGAGTGAAGAATATTTTTATTAACCGCCGAAATATTCATCCAAATATTAAACTTACTGCTATTTCATTTAGACAGAAATAAAATGTAAGATTTTAGCTTGCTCAAAATATTATCAATTAGTTTTTGTCACTGGAAAATTTATTCTACTCGTAGCCTTGGTCAGAGCAGGATTTCTGCATGAAATGCTATAGCAAACACATCTTATAACAAATTATAGACTATAACTGTGCATGTCATTGTTATTTTTGCTTATTGCATTGTTCATACTGTTTTACAAAAATTGGATTCTAGTGATAGAGTTAGTCTCTAGCAATATTACATCTTGGAAAAAATTAATAGATATTAATTTCTTATAACTTGACATATTTTGAAGTAAATGTAATGTTATTTCTTATTTATTCAATTTTTTAGGCGGCTTAAATACATCTTGATATACTAATCCATACGTCAAATTCTTAAAAACAGACGTCATAATAATTGTTATCAGTTCTTATAAATATTATGGGTATCAGTTATTTTGGAAGTGATCTTTTATCGAAACTAGTTATTTATTCTATTAGGTAACGAAAATAATCGGAATACTTTAATACCCTGTATGTTTGCTCACGCACTTTGAAGGCAATAACGACATAACTTATTAAAAATAGCATTATTTTGTCTATCAGACAGACACGCTCATACCAATGTCTAGTGGGGGGCATTTTTAGGGGTAATACGAATATGAAAATCATTTTTTTATTCAAATAAATTGTCTAATTATTAGTTTCTTAAACTGCACTTAAATCAAAATCAATTTAGGAAACATATGAAATGCAGCTACTGTCAATTGACTTTACACCTGGTGTGATATGTCGAGATGTTAAATGAGTAAAACACATACTAGTTTTCTATGTTTATTCTTATTAATAAAATAACGCTCTAATTATACCTAAGTTAAATTTATCTCAAGATATTTAGTTAATTAAAAATTAATTAGTTGTTACAAGTGATTATAATTTTGGTGTTCAAAATGGAGATAAGCTCGTTATCTACTACTATCGCGATGTAGAACAGAATAGAAATATATACCATAAGTATCGCGATGCGATGTATAAACAAACATTTTTATTAATAAATACGGTCGTAAGAAATAAATAAATCTTTTTATAAATGAAAAGCTAGAAGCAAGCACAGCATTTATTTATTAGAACAGCAACTTTGGAACGTTTTGTCTGAAAACATCAAATAAGAAAAAGATCTGGGATCGCCGCTTTACCAGATAAAATTTACGATCATAGGATAAGATATCTCTGCCAACAAAACGTAATACAATAAATTGTTTTCATTCATCTTTAAGATCGCTCATGCTTAGTCGACTGAAAATGTATGCACCCTCGACATGTAAATAGTCACTTTGTAGCGAAATTGATTCCGTTTTACGCGAAACGTCAGCAAAAGACATCGGATATTGAACGAGGACGTTAACTTCCGGAACAGCTTACGCCGAGAAAACTAATTTTGAAGACAATAATTTGTAAGGCATTTTATTTAAATTCGCATAATTTAAATCATCGATTAAATCGTAGGTACACAACAATTTGGTTATTGAACTTCAATTGTGTTCGATATAATCGTGCAAAATGTTCTAAACATATCTATTAATAATAATTTATATTAACAACAACACTAACATTTAATTTTCTATGCGATATTGCCAATTTTTTTTAGAACAATGCAGTTTACAATTATAAGTAAAAAAAATGTACTCAGGTGATTGTTTTACTGTTCTTCGTTTCTGGCTAGTATCGATTTACATAAGACAAGTTTTGCTATCTAAGAAAACACCATTGCATTGGGTATATAGAGAAGATTTTGTCACTTATTTTTAGGGGAAAAGTAGTAATTCTACAAAAAAAAATTACATTGCCTCGAAAAATGTCTCGTATAAACAGTAGATATTTACCTTGTGATAACTGCCAATTGTTTTGTTTTATCATGGCCGACCTTGTATTGTGTAGGTTAAAATTATTTATTTTTTTATCAGCGCGTATATAGAACTATTTATTAAAACTTAATGGGGAGTGACTTTGAAAAATAAAGTTAATGTCAAAATTGCAACCCTTCGAGTTATTTTTTATTACAAATTTAAGATATTTTCACAGTTCTTGGTCATTTCCTAGATTTGTGTCATGTTTCAAGCGACGTCATGTCTATTGTAAATACAGGGTGTTTTCCCTTTTAAACATACGAATTTTAACAGTTGACATGGAACTTGATGTAGAAGATAGTTCGAAAATTGCTTCCTTAGAGAAATACAGCGTGTTGAATTCATTTATTTCGTAATTTTATGACACTTCAAATCGCTGATCAATTTTAAACAAAAAACTGTTCTTGCAAAATTAAAAGGTTATGACTAAATGGCATGAAACCCTTTTAGAGTCAAATGTCATGAGATTTCAAAAAACTCAGACGTAGAAATTTTATTTAAAAAAGGGCAGTGATTACCCATCTACTACGCCACTGGTGGTTGTAGCGGATCGTTTGCAGGTTATTTTTAAAGGACATTATGTCGCCACAAGATATTCTCAGATGTCTCAGATATCTCGAAAAAAATTTAAAAAACCTTATGACCTTTTTCGTTCAAAATGAAGATCTCTGTCAATTGTTGAAGTTAGTACGTTTAAAAAGGGAACACCCTGTATATATTTAAGTTGAATTAAAATATTTTTGTCTAAGATACAAAACTATGTGGCTAACTTTACTGAAACTATCTACCTACATTTTTTAATTTTTTTCTGATTTCAGCACTATATTTCTCGAAAACGAGGCATTTTTTTCTTACTTTGAAGTATTCTATCACCAGGTAATTTATGACGTAGGCAATTCAGGACCCGTTATTGATAAAATATAAACATTTCTCGTATTTTTGCTATATTCGTTCTTATTACAACAATATCCGAAATTATTAAAATTTGATTTCAATTTAACGACTTGTCATAAATCACAATTATTTTTTCACGATCACGACAAGATAAAACCACGTGTGAAATTAATAGAAACATATTTTGTTTCAACACACTCTGAAGAAGTAGATTTAATTTACGAAACTTCCATGCGAAAATCTCGCATTCGTGGGAGAAATTTTCCGACTCGATTTTTTTGCATATTCAGATTCGTGAGATGTTTCTTAACATGAATCAAGATGACGCCGACCGGAAATCTGGTGCCCATTTGTTTAAACAAACTTTTTTTAAACAAATTGTAAAAATTGGTTATTTCACTCCGGAAAATGTTTTTCTAGGTTTTTGACACATTATAAAGAAAAAAGTTCCTATGCACTATGCCTCTAAAATTGATAGATTTAAAGTTATAAACAATTTAAGTTGTTAAAAATGCGAAAATGACGATTTTCAACGGCCGATTTCCGGGTTAAAAATTGTTATTTTTGATGTTGCCAGGTACCTAAATTAAATTTTAAACATCCCCTACAAGATGCTGAAGAGTTTTTGGGACTCGCATTTTTGTAAAGCCTTGTTTTTTAATTGTTAATAAAGAGCTATGAGCCGCGCGCGCGCCTCTCTCATACGCGGATTCGCTATTTCGTCTAGTGGCTTCAGCTTATGTTCTTTGAATTTAGCATTCTAAGTACTATTACTACTCATAAAATAAAGTAAAAATTGATTATTTAAATTTCATGTCTTAATATTATTTAATTAATTCAAAATTGTACGAATAGAGTGCAGAAAAAAATAAAAGGGCAATAGTATCAAATACATTTGATGAACATTTATTTAATACTGCATATTATTATTATCACACATTTATTCAATCATAAGAATTCTCACCCTGTTCTGTTACAACCACATAAAGGTACACGTACAAGTGTAATTTTTCCTACAAGAACAAGCTTTAGTCTTACAGTTTTTTATACATTTACATTGTTTAACTAAGTCTTTGGGTAATGGATCTTTGGTAATAAATTTAGGTAATAATTCACCTGTTTCATTTTGATAACCAAAAGCTGTGAAATCCAAATATTGATATTGAGGAAAAATGAAACTTTTCCATATGTACGTTTGTAAAGAAGCTCATAGCGCATTATTCACAATTTAAAAAAAGGCTTTATAATAATGAGAGTCCCAAAAACTCTTCAGCATCTTGTAGGGGGATGTTTAAACTTTAATTTAGGTACCTGGCAACATCAAAAATAACAATTTTTAACCCGGAAATCGAGTAGGAAAATTTCTCCCACGAATGCGAGGTTTTCGCCTTGTCTAATAACAATAATTATTTATTCTTTAAGTTTCTCACGTGCAAATAAATTTAAAATTTTGTTTGAAAATAAATCGAGCAATTCCGAAATCTTTAAGCGAGCTTCAACCACTTTAAAATTTAAATTATTCAGAAGCCGCATACCGACGCTTCCGCGGAGGGAAATCTCCACATCAACCAAAACAAACGCAAAGCCCTACGCTACCAACAGAGACAGACAGCTCGACGTGCAGCAACAACTTACCTTGGCGTGCTTGCAGCAGACATCCTTTCAGTTTCCCGTCCTTTCAGCGGCTCGTAGTAGGTGTATCGATCCCCTCACTGCAGCCTGCACAGATCTCCGGTTCCATATCAACTGAACTAGGGGTTGTATATTTCCTCCGTGGCCACCCCTGCCATGCGCTGGGTTAGCCGGAAAACTCGCACACGTTTCCTTATCGCGATTCGGCTGTTTCGTATGGAAATTTTCACACACCGCACTTAAATGTAAACAATTTAACAATCGTTCTAATATACCACCAACGGATGCGAAATAAAATTTAGCGGTGAATTTTTTATCGATATAAAATATCGGGAGACAGATTAGATTAAAATAACCAGGTAGACTTGTGCCCACGAGGTATATTCGATAGTGGTTAGTTTGTGTATGCATATACGTGTCCTAGGTGGATATGGTTGTTCATGACCTTGTCAAACCAAACACTAACGAGGGTACTGCAAAAACTGTACTTGTTTTGATTCAAATCGTTTTAGAAGTGGGGCTTCTTTTCGTTCGAGTCGATGAATGTTTCCTTGTACGTTTTTTATTAACGATGTGATTTTTTGTTAATTCGAAACATAGGTAAAAATTTGGGTTTGCTTGTTTTTACACACTTCTGAGAAAGCCTCTCCGATTCAATCCCTTTCCCTACTTATTATCGTTGGATTAGGTACTTGTGAGGAGGGTTCAACGGGAAGCTTTCTGAAGGGTCCGTGGTGGTTAAGATTCGCTAGCGAACTTCGGAATTCAGTAACTTTTCACTTTTTTAGTTAAGATTAAAAAGAACACAATACTGCATTTTTATGTGTTTTACAGAACTACATGTATGTTTATAGTAAAATTAATAGAAATTGAAAGAGACATAAAAATTTTACACTATGATTCAGACAGTGCCAAACACTACTATCGAAATTAATGAAGTAGACCTCTGATTTTGGAAACCGATATTAAGAAAAGGTAGGGGCAAAAAAATTTTAAATTTGGACCATATATAGCCTCACTATTACTCTATTGTGTGCTAAAATTTCAGTTAGTTTCGTTATTCCAATTTTTTAGTTATTAATGAAAATGTTGAAAAAATCACGGTTTTCTGCCTACAAAATTGATACCTCTCACTTTAGCTCGTCATATTTTTTTTGTTAATTGATAAAAATATTCTAAATTTTTACTGACGATAAATGGAACTATTGTTTTTAGTACTGTAAAGGTTATTTGTCTCAAAAGCTCTTCTTTTTTTTATTTTTAAGCAAAACAGAAGGAAGTGCTATCTCCGTAAATATTGCGTTCTTAAAAAAAAAAATAAACTGACATAGGTAGTAAATAATTGTAAACAACAATCCGAAAAAATTAGTTAAAATAATATAGTTATAAATATGATATTCTTAAAAACAGTATCGGAATGGTCAATTACATTTACGGTCCAATGCAGGGTATACAATATAGTTATAACTAACTGTATTATTTTAACAAATTTTTTCAGATTGTTGTTTACAATTATTTACTACTTCAGTTTTTTTTCTTTTTTTAAAGAATGCAATATTTACGGAGATAGCACTCCCTTCTGTTTTGTTAAAAAATAAAAAAGAGCTTTTGAGACAAATGACCTTCACAGTACTAAAGACAATAGTTCGACTTATCGTCAGTAAAAATTTAGAATTGTTTTATCAATTAACAAAAAAATTAGGACGAGTTAATGTGAGAGGTATCAATTTTGTATGCCGAAAACCGTGATTTTTTCAACATTATCATTAATAACTAAAAGATGGGATAACGAAACTAACAGAAATTTTAGCACACAATAAAGTAATAGTGAGGTTATATATGGTCCAAATTTAAAATTGTTTTGCCCCTACGTTTTCTTAATATCGTTTTCCAAACTCTGGGATTTATTTCATTTATTTCGATAGTAGTGGCTGCTGTTCATTTCGATGTTTGGAAATTTTTTTGAGTACTGGATGTCCGTTGCAAATTTTGGTTTGGTTACCTTAAGAGATACAAGGTCGATCAAATTATGGCAGAGCTGGCATTTTTTAGGTTGTATAAGCCATTTTTGTTTTGAAAATTGTTTGGCATCTATTTTTTAACATGGAAATAGCAACAAAAAATGAGAACTAAGAAATAGGCTCAATGAAATCGAACGAAAGTTGAATTTTGCATCAAAATCAAAACGAAATATCCGTGAATGAAAACTTTGAATTCACTAACTGCTATTTTTCTATTTGAAAGGTGTTTATGAAATCTTTTAATCAAAGTTCGCCTTCAATTTACCGAGAAATTAGAAAATTAGAATATTATTCAAGGGTTTCCTTGGGTATAATAAAAAAATAGTAAACTGAGCAGCGTCAACTTTTACAGCTTGTCAAACGCATTACTTTAAAATTTGAGTGATAGTAGGAGCTAGACTGTATTCGCAAACAGAACCGTTTGCGAGGAACTTTGGACGGATATATTCCATCCGCCACGTTACATCTGACAAGTTGTATTTATATAAATTATACAAATACTGAGAATGGTTTAAATAAATATTATTATCACTTATTACTACAATTAAATTGATATAAAACGTAATTGAAGACAACAGAAGCGTCTTATTTTTATAAGTAAGCCGAATTGCGTATTGTGCGGAATATTTAGTACAGCAGTAAATAACAGCTGACAGTAAATTTATAGGTCATATTTTTCAATTGGTTAAGTGGTTATGATACAATAAATGTTCTAGTTTGAAATTTACGCCCTACTTAAGATTATGTTAAACGTTTTTTAAAGATTAAAGAGATATCAAAAATAAACTGATTGTTATTCGAAATTAAAACACCTTCGAAACTGTGAACTCTCATGGGGTGAAAGGTGAAGCTACAAAATGTAAATACAAATTTAAAAATAGATACCGATACATTTTTTTAATAATATTCCCTTAAGGATACCCTCGTCGTGGTCCTTATTTATTTTGTATACTTAAACAGCTCACACAAATATTTTATGTCAGCTAGTATAAACGACAATTTAACTTTTAAAACAGTGAATCATTAAAAAAATTTGAAAAAATTAGCGTTGCGTAACTAGGTGACGTTTAGTTTTCTAAAGCAAAAACCGTCGTATCATTCTGGTATATTAGAACATCGTACACAAAAATCCCTACCATAACTCAATCGCACAAGAACACTGTAATTTACCACCGAGCAGTTATCACTTCGTCAGGCAACTATTACGTTAAATTAAGTTAAAATTGCCTCAGGACTGGAAAACATTTACATACTGGCGACAGAAGAGCAAACACAATAACAATGCATAATAAAGTTGTACTGGAAACTGATAAGCATGTAATCAAAGCTGAATTTAAAATGAGGACTTCCTCCGTTCCGTTGAATTATATACATTTTTTTTTCGATCGCCGGACGCGGTCGGCCTTGGTTTTTGCACAATTATTATGTATCCACTGCAATTTTGCCCCTGTTATGCGGTGGCAGATCGCGATAACGAGGTGCGGATGGTCCTACCGTGTCAAGATCATGACATCGCACAATAACAAGTGCATAAAGAGCAAAAAAATGTGAAACGTGCAAATGTTATAGTGGCATTCATTCCGTAGTCATCAACATTTTTATTTTTTCTATAACGCCAAATTATATGTACAGTTGTGAAATACGACGAAATACGAACAAATACATTACCTTACCAATTGTTCGTACGTCAGACTCTTGTATAAACTTGTCACCTTTTTACAAATGTAGCTAAGTTACGAATTCCAGTCTGTGAAAATGAACCTTATAGTCCAGGGAACGAAGAGAAAAATAGGATAATACCTCCGAATACTTTAGGATAGATCCGATTTTTCTGAAAATTTGGAATTAAACTTTATCCTGTAGATGAAAAGTTCTATATGCTTGATATAAGCTTCTTATTTTTAGGGGATGAAAACCAGCGCTTACGCTAAAAAACTGAACAAATAGGGGTTATATTGACTAAAATCATATCAATAATTATACCTATATAGAATAAATATTGTTTTATATTGTGGGTTATAATTTACGTTATTTTTATAAAGTTTCAACCCTTAAAAACCACTCTTAATGTAATATTTTTATAGAGCATATATTTAGATAGAAATCTTTTCAATAGTTTATGGTAATTTATTACAATATTTCAACCCTTAAAAAACTACCACTAATAACAAAATATTTAAAAAAAAATATAGTTTTAAACAGTTTAAAATGCTTAGATAGTACAAACAGGATAAATTAAATTCTTTTACTTGTTTATAATTCAATTTATAATTTATCGCATTGTTTTAACCTTTCACAACCACTCCCAAAGAAAATATAAAAAAAAGGCTTTTAAATTATTTAAAATCACACAAATAAAAAAACAAAATATTCTGTGAAAAAAATATAAGCTCTTGAATATTTTTCGTATCTTTTTTATTTTTAGTTATTTTCAAAAATACGTTATTTTTTTGGAATTAAAAATTTTTTTTTCAGTCAACATAATATTTTCAAAAATATGCTTCTAAACCGCTTAAACTTGTATAATATGTTGTTAGCACATAAAAAATGTAAATTGTTGAAGGATTCATCAGTTTTTGGTACTGATTTTTTTTTTAGAAAAAGGGAATTAACAGTTTTATTTTGATCATAACTGTTAATTTTCATGCTAATGACCTAAAGTTAAGTTAATTTTAAAGATTTTTTTAAAGTACTTTAAAAAATGTTCTGTGCATTTTTCTTGCAAAATTTTTTTTTTATTATTTTACGTTAAATGCTTCCAATTTAGTTCTGGCGGACATGAAATTATCTTCAACCAGCCGTATCTCAGCACCTATTGCACCTACATAAATGAAAAAAATCCTCAAAATTTGTTCTTTTTCTATAAGCTTTTTTTTCGTGTTTTTTTTTCAGAGAATGTCTATTTTCCGAGTTATTCAAGAAAAACTACTGAAAAACGTATTTTTTTTTTTAATAAAAAATGTACATTTTCAGTCATCAATAACTCAGAAAATATTGACTTATCGAAAAATGTTCATAAGATACTTTTTGCTTAAAATTGATTGCTTTATCGATTCCTTATTTTCAATATTTTATTTTTCACCCCCTAGAAGAGGTGGCTTCCACCCCCTGGGCAAAAGCGCTCGTCGGCACTATATAACTTTTGTTTCTTGAGCTATTTTCTACTTACAGTCCAAATTTCACGTCAATCAGTTCTATCCGAAAGAATTCGGAGGGGACTATTACCGATGGAGCCGCGTGCATTGTGCTGGTGTGTCGTTTAAGCAAATATACGAGTGAAGGCATGTTTTCGACTGGATCGATATGCACCATCCACACGATACCACATTTGTTTCCACGCACTCAGGCCAGTTTGTCGGCAAATCGTCAAACACGAATATTATACAACCTTTTTGGTTATAGGCTGACTTAGCGCAACAAAACTATCTAACACAGTAAAAGGAAATAAGTCGTATGTTTAGTGTAGATAAGTTGCTCATTAATTAATGAGTTTGGGGCAACAAAAATTTCTAGCAGAACTTTCTATTTGCTGGAAGTGTGCCCTTTTTAGCAAAGCATATTTTGTTGTGGTATTTAATGTAGATATTTTGCCCCATAGCAAAAGACTTCTCTCAGTGCATTAAAAGTAATGTACTTACATATAATTCCTTTCAAGTAGTTGGAGAACTTACGCACGATCTCTCGTCAAAGATTTTTAGTTCAAAATTCAACGTCAACCTACCCTTTATATGGTGCCCACAATCGACTGACATCGTACCGGTGCCTAAAAGGGCCTGGCACAGAGTCATCTCTTCCTGACAAATATG